CCTCACCACCGCCCACCTCTCTTCCTATGCTGTTCCCTCCTTCACCCCTCGATTGACCACTACTGCTGGTATCCCCTCCTACCTCCATACCTCCTGCACTCCCTACTTGCATCGCACTGCCTGACCCACCTCTCTCTTGCTCACGCTCACCAATGCTTGCACTTCCACTCCCCCCTCCCTCTGCCCTCCCCTCCATCCACTCCCCCTTCCCCCCTTCCTCCTCCGCACAAGCAGCCAATGCCGCAACTCTTGCCTCAGCAGTAGTCAACCACATCGCGCCACCTGTCCTCATCCTTGCTGCTGCTGTACTCCCCCAGCCCCCAGAACTGTGCTGACGTGTCAACTCTGCCAGCTGGACAGCCAGGTGGTGCCCCTCGCCCTGCCAGCTCAGCGCAGGCGACGGTTGTACTCCAAACTCTGCCAGATCAGCAGCCTTGTAGCTCGCGACCAAGCGCCACGTGGCCGGAATCTCGACGAATCGGAGCGTTGCCACCTGGCAGATGCGCATGGCTGTGGCTCCTATAGCCTCTGCATACGTGGAGACTGTCTGTTTACCATGTCTTGAGGGGTAATTTACCGCGCTACCAGTTACCGCATTACCCGTTACCCACGTTACCTGTTTCTCTAGGGTAAGAGGAAGCCCCCCCTAATAATACCTTCAGTGCTGCTCGTGGTGGTCCACCACTTGAATCTCTCCTTGACGCAGCTCTTGGTGCCGAGCCTGCCTTCCCCGGACCTGACAGCAGGTTCGGCAAACAATGCAGGCTCGGAGATTACGTTCTCTCACCCTGCTCTCCGCCTCCCTTATTCTCCACACTACACCAGCCAAACCAGGACGCTCCACTTGACATGCCTTCAGACCCATGCTCTCTGGTCTCTCCGGCTGCTACTCTAGGCACTGCTGCTTCTGCTGCTGCTACTACAAGCTCTCTTCCTGCTGTTGCTGCCCCGCGTCTGCGCTGCTTTCATGCACCCGTACTTGGGATTCAGCGAGTGCAGCAAGGGGGGTGGAGAGGGGAACCCCAAGGAGGGGAGGAGAGGGCATAGCAGCCGGGAGAGGGACGAGAGGGAAGCGGTGGGGAGGGCAGAGGCGGGGAGCGAGATGGGAGCAGAGGGAGCGTGGCGTTGCGAGACGGACGGCGGCACACGGGACACAGGAAACTCGCCCTGCGATGTAGTGTGGTGTGGGGCGGGCGAAGGACAGAGACAGGAGGGGAGAAAGAATAAAACAAGCAGGATGTGATTGAGGGGCAGAGAGGAGGAAAGGTAAGGCCAATGCAGTCAACAAGATAAATGCATGAGGTTGGAACGATTGCTCGCCTTAAGGTTGTAGCTTCAACAGCAACTCTTTTAAATTTTTGCTTCACATTGTTTGGAACCAATCGCCTGACAAGATGCACCACCCACTCACCGCTTCAGGATCCACCACTGAACGATCCCTCATAGAAAGAACCACTCAGATACCTGCCATGAGCCCACAGCGGGGGGGAGAGGTGGGTGGGTGGGAGCGGTGGGGAGAGCTTGGGAGAGGTGGGGATTGAGATGTCTCAGATTCAGGGTCCACCACAACGAGACCCTCGTAAGAGGAACCACTCATCAATGATACAGACTCAATTCGTTCTGACTTTTGAGTCGACTCAAAAGTCGGCAAGGCGTGCTCTCTTCCTCTCCTCCTCATCATCTACCATGTCCACCTCGACTTTTGAGTCGACTCAAAGTTCAGGGTCCATCACAGCGAGACCCTCATAAAAGGAACCACTCATCGTTGTACTGGTACAGACTCAATACGTACTGGTCCATGCACGAGTGGTGAATTCACATGCCCAGCCCACACCATAACCCTTCACACACACACCCCCACTCACCGCTGGTAGAGACTTGAGAAGTACTGGTCCATGCACGAATGATGTATCACATGCCCACACCCCTTCACACCTGGATAAGACACACTCCCAGCTAGTAACAGCACACTCACCTCTGGTAGAGACTTGAGAAGTACTGGTCCATGCACGAATGATGTATCACATGCCCACACCCCTTCACACCTGGATAAGACACACTCCCAGCTAGTAACAGCACACTCACCTCTGGTAGAGACTTGAGAAGTACTGGTCCATGCACGAATGATGTATCACATGCCCACACCCCTTCACACCTGGATAAGACACACTCCCAGCTAGTAACAGCACACTCACCTCTGGTAGAGACTTGAGAAGTACTGGTCCATGCACGAATGATGTATCACATGCCCACACCCCTTCACACCTGGATAAGACACACTCCCAGCTAGTAACAGCACACTCACCTCTGGTAGAGACTTGAGAAGTACTGGTCCATGCACGAATGATGTATCACATGCCCACACCCCTTCACACCTGGATAAGACACACTCCCAGCTAGTAACAGCACACTCACCTCTGGTAGAGACTTGAAAAGTACTGGTCCATGCACGAATGATGTATCACATGCCCACACCCCTTCACACACACCCCACTCGCCATCCCCCCGCCCACCACCGCCCCCACTCTCCCTCTCCTCCACTCCTCTCCCCCTTCCCCCTGCCTGCCCAAACAGATCCGCCCTCCCCGAGATACCCCTGCGCCTCAGCCTGGCAGTGCGCCTGATGGGGGGAATGTTCATCCAGAACCCACGAAACACCTCCCCTGCTGCAGCCTGCACCGCATCCAACCTCCCCCTGGCTGCGCCAGCTCCCCCCTCCCCTGCTCGCGCTACCCCCTGCCCCTGCTCGCGCTCCCCCTGCCCCTGCTCGCGCTCCCCCTGCCGCTGCTCGTGCTTCCCCTCCACTTCCCCTGCCCTCCCCCTGTCGGTACGGTGGCTCCGGCTCTCCCTGTCGGTACGGTGGCTCCTGCTGTGGTTTCAGGAATGGCAGTGCCTGCTCCCACAACTGCAGCAACGGGCGGCACTGCAGCAACGCGCGGCACTGCAGCAACGGGCAACACTGCAGCAACGGGCAGCACTGCAGCAATGGGCGGCACTGTGGTTATGCCATGAGTGCCCATGCCACCTGCACCTGCCTGCTCCACTGCTGCTGCCCCTGCTGCCCCTGCTGCCCCTTCTGCCCCTGCTGCCCCTGCTGCCCCTGCTGCCGCTGCTGCCCCTGCTGCCGCTGCTGCCGCGGGTGCTGTTGCACCTGCGTGCTCCACATGTGGTGCTGCTGCTGCTGCAGTCCCCGGCACCCCTTGGGTCTGTCCATCTTGCTGCTCGGGTGGTCCCCCCCCCCCCTTGCTGCCCCTCATCCCCATCCTCTTCCAACCCCTGACTCGCAGCATCTTGCATCACCTCATCCCCCATCCCCATCCCCACCAGCACCAGCACCATCCCCACCCGTACCAGCACCATTACCAGCACCATTACCAGCACCATTCCCATCCTCCTCCTCATCATCATCACCAGTGTCATTATCCGTATCTGAAAACATTTCACCCCCCACTTCTCTCATCTCTTCCTCCCCCAGCAGCATCAGCCCCTGCCCGTCCATCATCTCATCCTCCCCCTCCTCCTCCTCTCCCTCTTCCTCTCCATCTTCCTCTCCTTCCTCCTCCACATCCTCATCCTCTTCCTCTTCCTCCACTTCCGTCGTTGCCCCTTCTCTTTCTCCAACCCCTATTTCCCCCTCCTTCCCTATCCCGCCCCATTCTCCCACCTTCGTCCCTCGCCCCCTCCCCTCTCCCCTCATCCCTTCCCCCCATCCGCACCATCCCCTCCCGCATCCCCCTCTCCCCTCTCCCCCCTTCCCGTTCCCCCCACCCCAACCCCACCAGGCCCCAACCCCACTCCTAACCCATCCCCACCCCCTTCCACACCCGGCCACCCCTCCCCTGTGACTATAGTGGTTGTGAATCGCACCTCCCCCGGTAGCTCCTGCTGCAGGATATCCATCAAATCCTCCCCATCCACCTGCCACTCTCCCCTGGGCCCCTGTACAGTCACAGGCCCCCCTCCCCCCTCGCGCAAGGTCGCTCTGATCCAGTCTAGAAACTCTGTGGCTTGCACCCACGTCCCCGTGGTGGTTGTTGCTGCTCCTGCTGCTCCTGCTGCTCCTGCTGCTCCTGCTGTTCCTGCTGCTCCGTTTGTCGTAGCTGCTCCTGCTGCTCCGTTTGTCATTGCTCCTGTTGCTGCTGCTCCTGTCAGTGCTGCAGCAGCAGCAGCAGCTGTGCCTATCCCTGCCTCCGTCCCCATTCCTCCTGCCGTTTCCCCACCAGTGGCACCAGCTGCAGCAGCTGCACGTGCTCCCCCCAGCACAATCACCGCTTGCCCCAACCCCTGCTGCTGCTGCTGCCCTACGGTACCCCCGGCCCCAGTCGCGACTGCCCCAGTATTTCCTTCCCCAATCCCCCCTGCTCCTGCTACACCTGCTGTGGGAGCGGCAGCCACAGCAGCTCGGGAGGTAGCAGGCGGTGCAGCAGGGGCAGCAGGGGGGCGAGCACCGTGTTGCCAGGTGGGGGAGGGACGGCTGGAGAGACCCACGAGACGAGACTTCTGATGGGGGTTATCCGCAGGTAGGTAGACAGGATAGGAGAAGGGAGGAAGGGGCTTAAAAAGCAACAGGCAGGACAGTGGGGGCAGCAGGGGGACGAGCACCATGCTGCCAGGTGGGGGAGGGACGGCTGGAGAGACCTACGAGGCGAGACTTCTGTTAGGGTTGCAGATAGACGGGAGGGGTAGGGGGTGAGTTTTGAATGGGCGAAATGGGAGGGGAGAGGAGGCTCCAAGACAGTTACGAGTCAAACACAGGCGCGCCACCTGACAGACAATAGAGCAACACCTGACAGACAGCAGAGCAGCACCAGACAGACAGCCAAGAAGCAACTGACACAGAGCAACGAGCCCAGCACCCACCTGACAGAAAACAATGTGACAGAGGGGAGAGGAAGTTCCCCCCTTGTCCCCCTCCCTACACAGCACACACTCCCTCTCCTCCTCTGCCTCCTCCTCAACCACTGCCTTCCCCTTCCGCCTCTTCCCTCGCTTCCTCCCCCCCTCCTCCTCACCCACTCCCATGTCTACATCTCGTCCATACTCCCACCCCCCTGTCTCCACCCTCCCCTTCTTCTCCTCCTCTTCTTCCTCTTCCTCCTCCTCCTCCTCCTCCTCTTCCTCCTCCCCCTCCTTTCCTTTGCCTTGATTCATGCTTGCTGCGAATCTTTGCTGCGCTGCCCGCATCTTTGCCTGTTTGTTGTAGGGAAACGATAAGCAGCAAGAAATCCGGGACATTTTCGTACGCAGTAATAATGGCAAAAAAGAGGTGCTGCGAATCTTTGCTGCGCTGCCTGCATCTTTGCCTGTTTGTTGTAGAGAAACGATAAGCAGGAGGAGAATGAAAGGTTCTTAACAATAAAACGTCTGGGTCATTTTCGTACGCAGTAATAGTAACAGAAAAGAGGTGCTGTTTTCCCAGCCTTCCAACTCGTGTTATAAAATGGTTTTTTAATGAAAGGCACAAACCAGCAGCGTTTGTAACATTGTAACGAGCTGACTCTTGGGTTGACTCAAAAGCCAGCTCTTTTGAGCTGACTCATAAGTCACCTCCTTCCAACTCGTGTTAAAAAAAGGGTGTTTTGATGAAAGGCACGTACCAGCAACGCCTGCTGTCTTGCCCGAGCAAACGACTTCTTTGCATCGGCTTCACTCAACACCCCACCCTCTCCCTTCTCCTCACCACCCCTACTGCCGCCACCACCACCACTCCCCCTCTCACTTTCTCCAACCTCTATCTCTCTGCCTCCTATTCCCACACCTGCTCCCCCTGCTCCTCCTGCCCGTGCTGCCTTTGCTGCCTCCCCCGTTTCCCCAGCCCCTCCCCCGCGGCCTCCAGCCGCCGCCTTCCCCTTTCCCTTATCAAACTCCTCCGGGCAAAGCACCTCCAGAGCTCTCCTGCACTCGTCGCTTAGCTGAGCGAAACGCTTAAGCAGCCGCAGCACCAGAACATGCAGCTCCGCCCGCCCCTCCCCTCCCCCTCCCCTTCCTGCCCCGCCCGACCTCTCCCCAACTGCTGTGCTTCTACCCTCCTCGCCTTCCCTCCCCCTACTCTCATTCCTGGCCACTAACCCCATCCCTTCACTACCAGCAGCAGCAGCGGTGCCGTGCGTCGTCCCTGCCTGGCGCTGCCAGCACCGCAGGAGGCGCACGAGGAGCGCAAGCAGGGACACCGGGGCAGCGTGCGACGCGCGGAACCAGTGAGAGGACGAGAGGGTCGAGAGGGTCGCTCCTGGCAGCAGGGCGAACAGCCCCGCGGCCGTGCTGCTGCTGCCACTGCCGCTGCCGCTGCCGCCGCTGCTGCTGTTGTCTGGTAACCGTGCTTCGAACGGCTGGCATGCTCGGGACAGGAGGGCCGGTGGCCAGGAGTGTCTCTTCTGCACAGCTGCATGGTCAACATGACCACGTGCATCACGAGCCATCCAGTCCGCCCCTTCCACTTCCATGCCTGAGCCTGAACCCGCTTCTCCTTCCCTTCCTTCTCCTTCCGTTCCTTCTCCTTCCCTTCCTTCTCCTTCCCTTCCTTCTCCTCCCCCTCTTGCTTCTCTTCCTTCACTCCAACCGCCGCTCGCATCCCCTCCCACACGCCCATCCACATCCATCCGCATCCCCTCCTCCTCACCACCCTCTCTCCCCACCTTCTCTCCCTGCTCTTCCTCGTCTCCTCCCTGCCCTCTCTGTCCTTCCCGCCCCTTCTTCTCCTCGGCTTCCTGCCACGCCACGCAAGTGTCAAGAGCCAATGCCAGCAGATGCAGCGCGGCATGCAGCACAATATCAGGCGCACGAGACAACCCACTCCCATTCCCACTCCCACTCCCTGCACTCCCACTCCCACTCCCACCACCGCCACCACCACCACCACCACCACCACTCCCAATGCTGGCACCGTTGCTGCCTCTGGCTTCTCTGTAGCTCATCTCTCTCCCCTCCTCATCCCACCACGCGTGCAGCACCACCGACAGCACCACATCATGCATGCCTGCTGACGTGGCAATCTCCCGCAGGCCCATCAACGGACGGACAGGATCGCGCCATCTCGGCGTCTGCTCCACAACCGCAGATCTCTTAACCGCCTCCGCATACCTCTCTTCCGCTCGCTGCAACTCCCTAGGCGCCCATCTTAGGCAGTACAAATCCAGCTCCCTGTAACAGTCTCTTTTAAGTAAGTATCGCCCTTGCTCCATTCCCGAGGGGCGGGAATAATCCGCAACGGCAGCGAGAACGGCGGGGATGGCGGGGTTTTCGGCGAAGCGAGGGGGGAGGGACTTGACAACGCTGCTGCGGGTGGCGTTGCCGATGGCTAGGCGCTGCACTACCTCCCTCCGGAGGGCCGCAGTGGGGGGGAGGCCGGAAAAGGATCGCTCTGAGATGAGACGGATGAGGAAGGCCATGCAGTCCTGGGCCACTGCAGGCTCGTACCTGATGAGGGGGGGTTGTGATGGGTTGGGGGAAGAGAGAGGAGAGAGTGGAGAGGGGTGGAGGAAGTGGGTGGGGCGGAGGCTGGAAGGATCACTCGGAGATGGGGCAGACGAGGAAGGAGGGGATGCAACTACTCGCAAAATAGGATGGCAGTGCAGTGCAGGAATCCTACTGCCTACTCTGTGAGGCAGTGTGGACAGTGAGGGAAACGAAACGTAGGTTATAAGGCTGTAGCGCATGGGATTGAACCTAATGCTTACTCTGAGGCAGTGCCGACAGTGAGGGAAAAGTAGGTGAGGCTGTAGCGCGCTACAACCTGGCGGACAAAGGCGTCAGGAGGGGCCAAACGGGACAGCAGTGCACTACTGCATTCTACTGCTTACTCACTCTGATGCCGTCCCCACAGCGAGGGAGAAGTAGCTGGTGAGGCTGTAGCGCGCTACAACCTGGCGCACAAAGGCGTCAGGAGGGGCCAAACGGGACAGCAGTGCACTACTGCATTCTACTGCTTACTCACTCTGATGCCGTCCCCACAGCGAGGGAGAAGTAGCTGGTGAGGCTGTAGCGCGCTACAACCTGGCGCACAAAGGCGTCAGGAGGGGCCAAACGGGACAGCAGTGCACTACTGCATTCTACTGCTTACTCACTCTGATGCCGTCCCCACAGCGAGGGAGAAGTAGCTGGTGAGGCTGTAGCGCGCTACAACCTGGCGCACAAAGGCGTCAGGAGGGGCCAAACGGGACAGCAGTGCACTACTGCATTCTACTGCTTACTCACTCTGATGCCGTCCCCACAGCGAGGGAGAAGTAGCTGGTGAGGCTGTAGCGCGCTACAACCTGGCGCACAAAGGCGTCAGGAGGGGCCAAACGGGACAGCAGTGCACTACTGCATTCTACTGCTTACTCACTCTGATGCCGTCCCCACAGCGAGGGAGAAGTAGCTGGTGAGGCTGTAGCGCGCTACAACCTGGCGCACAAAGGCGTCAGGAGGGGCCAAACGGGACAGCAGTGCACTACTGCATTCTACTGCTTACTCACTCTGATGCCGTCCCCACAGCGAGGGAGAAGTAGCTGGTGAGGCTGTAGCGCGCTACAACCTGGCGCACAAAGGCGTCAGGAGGGGCCAAACGGGACAGCAGTGCACTACTGCATTCTACTGCTTACTCACTCTGATGCCGTCCCCACAGCGAGGGAGAAGTAGCTGGTGAGGCTGTAGCGCGCTACAACCTGGCGCACAAAGGCGTCAGGAGGGGCCAAACGGGACAGCAGTGCACTACTGCATTCTACTGCTTACTCACTCTGATGCCGTCCCCACAGCGAGGGAGAAGTAGCTGGTGAGGCTGTAGCGCGCTACAACCTGGCGCACAAAGGCGTCAGGAGGGGCCAAACGGGACAGCAGTGCACTACTGCATTCTACTGCTTACTCACTCTGATGCCGTCCCCACAGCGAGGGAGAAGTAGCTGGTGAGGCTGTAGCGCGCTACAACCTGGCGCACAAAGGCATCAGGAGGAGCCGAGACAGCAGTGCACTGCAACAGGAAGAGGTCCAACTCCAGGCTGTCCTCACACCTGGCATGGCATGGCATGGGAAGAGGGGTCAGGGGGAGGGTATGACGGTCATATGAAGCTTGAGAGGGGTGAGGAGGAGCCGAGATGGCAGTGCACTGCAGGAGAAAGAGACCCAACTCCAGACTGTCCTCGCACCTGGGATGGCATGGCATGGGAAGAGGGGTCAGGGGGAGGGTATGACGGTCATATGAAGCTTGAGAGGGGTGAGGAGGAGCCGAGATGGCAGTGCACTGCAGGAGAAAGAGACCCAACTCCAGACTGTCCTCGCACCTGTGGGATACACATGATGATGCCATGGCATGTGATGTGATGCGATGCAATGCGATGCGATGCGATGCCATGTGACGTGGAGACGGGGGCTATGAAGAGACTGACATGGGTTTTACGACCAGAACGACCAACCAATGACTAGACTGACCAGTGCACGGAGCGGTAGAGGTCGCAGAGAGGGAGGTGGCAAAAGCACAGAGGGAGGAGTGAGGGGGGCAGAGAGAGCGAGGAGGAGCACAGAGAGAGAGGAGGAGCACAGAGAGAGGAGGAGCACAGAGAGAGGAGGAGCACAGAGAGAGGAGGAGCACAGAGAGAGGAGGAGCACAGAGAGAGGAGGAGCACAGAGAGGGTGAGGGGGGCAGAGAGAGAGAGGAGGAGCACAGAGAGAGGCGGCAGAAACGACTGACCAGTGCACGGAGTGGTAGAGGTCGCAGAGAGCGACCATGGATTGCCCGTTCCTCCTCCACATTCCCGCTGATATCTGCGCGCACAGCACTTGCACTCGCAGCCCGTGCTCCGCCACAGCTGCGAGGAAGCTTCCTCTCTGGAGCTTACTGGGCAGCAGGCGCAGCAAGCACAGCTCTGCCGCCTCTCTCTCCCTCCATCTCTCCTCCCTCGCATCCCGTGAGCCCTCCACCATCCCTTCGTTCCCAACCCTCTGCTCTGAGTCCCCATGTGCGTCGCCTGGTGGGTCGGGCACGGGGCAGGAGAGGCGCAGCAGGGAGTGCAGGAGCAGTGCGAGCATGCGGTGCAGAGGCAGGTGAAACGACACCTCCTGCCGCGCCACATCGTACTCCACCACTGGCCACTCCAGCACACTCTCAGCCCCACCCACAGGCCCCTTTGACATAGAACTCGCCTCCCACCCCTCCGTAGCCATGGTAATACAGCGTTCCCCCGCCCCTGCTACTGCCCCCGCCCCTGCCCCCGCCCCTAAAACTGCCCCTGCCCCCAAAACTGCCCCTGGCCCTTCTCTTGCCCCTCTTGCAGCAGATTCCTCTGCCCAAGCCCCCTCCTGTGGCGTGTCTCCTGCCAAGTCCCCTGGTTCAACCCGAGGGGGAGGGAACGGTAGCAGCCCCTCCAGAAGCGACAGCAGCTGCCGCCCCACCCACCAGCAGGGGCTGCTCCGTGCACTGAGGGCACCAGCAGCAGCAGCGGAGAGAGGGGGGGCGGCGGAGGGGGGGTGCGCAGCAGAGAGAGTTACTGCCTCTGTTGCTGCCAACGAATCTGCCTGCATGGCTGTTGCCGCTGCTTCCCCTCCTCCTGCCCCTCCTGCCTCTGCACCTACCCCTACGTCTGCCCATGCTGCCTCTGCGCCTGCTGCTTCACCTGCCCCTGCATGCCTGCCCTGGGTTCCCTGTGCCCCTTCTCCCCCTGTCGCCCTGAACCTAGACGCCCTTCTGAGCCAGTTGCTTAAGATCCCCATGTGGCCCCTCTGCGTGTGGGTCATGTCCTCCCCCTCCTGCCTTGCGTGCTCCTCCCCTCCCCTTCCTGTGCCACCACCACCAGCAGCAGCAGCAGGAGCAGGAGCAGGAACAATCGCAGCAGGCGCTTCGCCGTCTCTCAAACCCACTCTACCCAGCCCTGCACCCGCTCCTAACCCAGCACCCCCTCCCGCTTCTGCTCCTCCCACACCTCCTTCCCCTCCCCCTCTCCCCAACCCTTCAAGCCCAAGCGCAGGCACTGCCTCTGCTCCTGCTGTGGCCACTCTCTCTTGCCCCAATCCCCCTGGACTTCCCCCTCTAGTGCCCGGACTGCCTGCTCCTGTGGTTCTGCCGCCCACAGCAGCAGCTGCCGCCCCTGCTGCTGCGGCCATGCCTGATAGGAACCTCCCTGCCCGCCCCACTGGACTGGCGCCGCTGCCTCCTGCTGCCCCTCCCCCTCCGCCTCCTGCTCCTCTTCCTCCTCCTCCTACTGCTCCTGCTTCCCCAGCGTCACCTGCTATGCTGCTTCGACCACCCACAGCCCCTCCGCCTCCACCCGCCCTCTCTGCTGCGGCTGCAGCAGCAGCAGCAGCTGCCTCGGAAGCAAGGCTCTTCAGTTCGTCCTGGGCCCATTTGAACGACAGGAGAGAAGCTCCTGGCGCGTGCACCAGAACCGACGACAGTAACTGCACCTGCTGCCGCTCCTGCTGTTGCTGCTGCTGACCCTCTAGCTGCTGCTGCAACGACTGACCCTCCTGTTGCTGCTGTTCCAAAGCAGCAGCAGCAGTCAGCGAAGGCGCTGAGACCCCCCTGGGCCTACCCCCACCAGCAACCCCTCCCCCAGGTGAGCCTTCCCCAGACGTGCCCCCACCAGAGAGTCTACCTGTGGTGGCAGCGGCAGGCAGAGGGGTTAGCAGAGGCGAAGGCGGGGAGGCGGAGGGAGTGGGGCGGGGCGGGTGGGAAGGGGAGGTGATACGAGCCATGGCTGCTGCGGCTGCACCTGGTAACAGACCCAGCTGCCCAAGCTGCCTCATCCCTCTCATCGCCGTCGCACTAGCACCACCACCAGCACCACCACCAGCACCACCACCAGCACCGCCACCACCGCCAGCAGTACCAGCAGTAGCAGCAGCAGCAGCACCGGCATTTCCAGCAGCAGCAGATGGAAACGCAGGAAAGTGCGACCTGGTAAGGCCGAGCAGTCTCAGTGCCTCCACACTGCTCGCCCCGCTCCCAAACGCTGACCCCAGTGACCTCAACCCCTCCACTGCCACCCACCGCGCCAGCACCCACGCACACTCGTGCAGCAGCCGCACCAGCGCCGGAGGAACTCCGAACCTCGCCGCCACCTGCCGAACCTCGCAGGCTCGGGGCGGCAGGTATGTGTGCGTGCCTGTCTCGGTCTCTCTCCAGTCATCCGCATATGCCTCTGGGTCAAAACCCTCTGCCTTCCAGCTGGTAGTAGCATCAAGTTCAGCAGCACCACCCCCCCAACCTCCATCCCCAGGGATGGTCTCTCCTGCTGCTGCTTCTGCTGCTGTGCCATCGCTTCTGCCACTGCCACTGCCCCCTGCCTGTTCCCCTTGCTGCTGCCCCACTGCCTGCTGCCCTGCCTGCTGCCCTGCGTGCTGCCCTGCACCTTCATCCACAAACCATCTCAGGGTTTTCCTCCTCCCGAACCCCAACCCCGGAAACCCTCCCCCTTCACCCCCCTTCTCCCCTACCTTCTCTCCTCCCCCTTTCTCCCCTGCCGATCCTCCCTCCACCTGCCGACCCTCCTTCCGAGCCTCCAGCTCAGGCACGGCGCTAGCTTCGGCGAGCAGCGGGTTGACCGTCGCCAGCTGTGCTTCTAACAGGTACGCGAAGCTCCAATCGTCCAGCTCTATTGCCACGTGGGTGGTTGTGCGCCGCACGTGTGGACACATGCCTTGGGCGGCCGCCAACTGGCGCAGCCACGCGCGCAGCAGGTCCGGGCGGCGGGCGGTGACGTGGCGGGAGGAGGCGGAGTGGGAGAGGACGTAGCGAATATCGTCGGTCACTCGCCCGTTGTGCACCTCCTCTCGGGATAACTGAGGGGGGGGGGGTGGGGGAGTGGGGATAGGTAAGAGAAGAGAGGAAAGCACAGGAGGAGGCGGAGTGGGAAGGAATGTAGCGAATGTCGTCGGTCACTCGCCCATTGTGGACCTCCTCTCGGGACAGCTGGGGGAGATGGGAGGAACGGGGGGAGCGGGGGATTGGGAGGCGAGAGAACGGCGAATGTCGGAACAAAAGTGGGAGATAGACGCAGCGAACGCCGTCAATCACGCGGCACCTGCATCATGCTCTGCAGCATGCTCTGCAGCATGCTCTGCATCATGCTCTGCATCATGCTCTGCAGCATGCTCTGCAGCATGCTCTGCATCATGCTCTGCACCATGCTCTGCAGCATGCTCTGCACCATGCTCTGCACCATGCTCTGCAGCATGCTCTGCAGCATGCTCTGCAGCATGCTCTGCAGCATGCTCTGCATCATGCTCTGCATCATGCTCTGCACCATGCTCTGCACCATGCTCTGCATCATGCTCTGCACCATGCTCTGCATCATGCTCTGCAGCATGCTCTGCATCATGCTCTGCACCATGCTCTGCAGCATGCTCTGCAGCATGCTCTGCAGCATGCTCTGCATCATGCTCTGCAGCATGCTCTGCAGCATGCTCTGCATCATGCTCTGCACCATGCTCTGCACCATGCTCTGCAGCATGCTCTGCAGCAGGATATCCAGCAGCCGAGCCTCTTCTAAGCATTCTCAGCCAAAGTGTGTCTCAAATTTTGAATTTTCTCAGGACAGACCCGCAACTCACATTGATGCGCCCGTCTCGTCCCAGCGCCCCCTGCAGCATGCTCTGCAGGGTACCCAGCAGGATATCCAGCAGCCGAGCCTCCACCACGAGCCTGGGCGTCAGCACCGGCACCGTAAGAATCTGCACCGAAAAGCTCTCCAGAACCGATACCCTATTCCCTGCACTCCCACTCCCCGCCGCTCCTCTTCCCCTCCGCCCTCCGCTCCCCCGCGCACCCCCTCCCCCCCACCTTCCCCCGCCCTCCTCCCCGTCCCCTCTCCCCCCACTCCCCAGCACGAAGGCCGAGTAGTTAGCAACGAACGCGAGGGCGAATTGGTACTTAAAGCCCGGGTCGCCTAGGAGCTTGTAGAGAAGGCGGTGGGCTACGAGCATGGAGTCCTCTTTAATACCCTCCTCGTTTGCCACCAGAGCTTCCAACAGACTGGCGGATGCAGCAGCAGCGGTGGTAGAGGGAGGTGAGGCTGGGGGAGGTGACACTAAGGGAGGTGATGCTGCGGGATGTGACAATGCTGGGAGAGACGACCCTGCTGCTGGGCTGAGCAGTGAGCCTAATCCCACAGGAGCCGAAGAAGAGAGTGCATGGGAAGATCCAGGAGCAGAGACGGGACCAGTAGGGGCAGCGGCTGTAAGGGCAGAAGAAGCAGTAGGAGTAATGGTAATGTTGGTCGGATGGAACCCCGATGGCACTGTATCAGGGCGGGCAGTAACGGGGATAGGGCTTTTCCTGGTGAGCACGGACGAGACAAGGTGCAGCAGCCCTTCACTGGTGCTGGCCAGTCTCAGAAACATCTCCGAGAACCTCTCAGTTGCTGCTGCTGCCTCGTTCTTCGCTGCTCGCAACCGCGCTGCTGCTGATAGCGCTGCGGAGGAGGAAGAGGAGGGGGAGGACGAGAAGGAGGAAGATCCTCTGAACCCATCGTTACCACTCATCCACCCTCCCGACCCCCCCACACCCCCTGTGAGGGAACCTAGCAGCGAGCTCATACTGCTTCCCGCTGTCCCGCCTCTCCCTCCTCCCCCTCCGCCTCCCCCTCCCCCTCCGCCCCCGCTTCTCCCGCTTCCAAACCCAAACCCAGAACCCCCCCACCCTGCTGCGCCTCCACTCCGTTCCTCCTCCAGCCGGGCAGCGAAAACTATTTTCTGCTGCCATTCCGCAGCAACCGCGGCCAGCACGGGCTCTGCCCGGGCAACGAAACTTTCCGGGAGGGGCGGGGCGTGCCCAGGGCCAGGATGCTTCTTGCAAAACCCCTGACGCTTCCAGGCCGTTGGATCGCCGCAGTCGCAGCATCCACCGCCCGTTTTGATCATTGCATAGTCATGCCCCTCGTGGTCCCCGTCTAGAAAGCAGGGAACACATATGGCACAGGTAGGGTCATGCTCACACGATCGGCATCTATATGCTATGTCGCTCGCCCCCCATACCGCCCCGCATACCCCCGACGTTCCTGATTGGCCGAGAGCCGCCAGTGTGGATTCTGGATCGGATCCGCATGCCGCCCAGAGAATCCAATCCACAGCACCAGAATAGGCTTCTTTCACCATGGCTAGAGAATCCAGATCGAGATTAAAGCCCATGCGACCACCGCTTAAAGCCATAACCGCTTCTACTGCCTCGTCTAAGAAAGCAGCGTCGCCACCACCCTCGTTTACCCCTCCTGCTCCTCCTTCCCCCGCGCCCTCCCCCCAAGAGCCTCGTCCCCGATCCCGCCTGACCTCCCGCCCTTCCCCCCATCTCCCCTCCTGGGGGGGAGCGCAGAAAGTGAGGAGGGCGGAGATGATGCGCGGGGCGAGGTGGGGCTGCGCGCGGAGGAGTGGGGGGAGACATGCGGGCCCCCCTGCTACGTCCGCCGGCTGTAGCCGACGAGTCTTGAGAAGCTCGCGCTGGGGAAGCGGGGGGAGAGAGAGGGGGGGAGGAGAGGGGAGGAAACGGGGAAATCGTTGGAGTAGCGGGGGATACAGGCGGGTCCCTCTGCTATATGTCCACCGGCTGTACTAGACGAGTCTTGCGGAGCTCGCGCTGCGGAACGGGGGGAGAGGAGGAAGGAGGAGAATTCTAAGAAAACAACACTCACAACAGTGCGAGAAGCATGCAGGGCTTTCAAGACGCCTCGACAAGAACCATCATGGGAAGAATCCGTCAAATGGGTCGGCTAATGCTTACCACGGCACTGCTAGGAAGCATGCTGGAAACCGGTGAATTCGAGGTCGCTCGGGATTCGAGTTTCTGATGCTGACCGAGTCTTGATCTCGTCTCAGATAATGTTCCAATCTGTGATGCTGACCGAATCTTGCTCTCAATTACTAAGGCTTAAAATATTATTCCGGTTAAGACGCTGAACAAGATTTCTGATTGCTTCTGATGGATGGAAGTGAAATCCACGAATTCGGGAAAACACGCAGGAGCACAGATAACCTGAACACGACCCGAAACTACGCCCTAAACAGCAGAAGACGGGCTAAAGCCGGTAGATTTCTCGAAATATAACGGTTTGAGAGCAATTTTCTAGAAACTACCTACCGGAAACGTAAGCAGAAATCCCTAAGGCAACTCGAAGGCTTAAATTTGCACGAATTTGAAAAATACTCGTCGTCGGCAGTAAGCGGAGGTAAAACTACAGAACTGGAAGCTCGACGAACGAACTTGCTGAACCTAGAAATTGCCGACGCGACCGTCCAACAGAGCCTGCCAGCACTTCAAGCCTCAGAATCGTATCGACGTACGCGACGCGCCACCTACTCGAGTGGAGCTGCGAGAACCAGGACGCATCGCGACGAAATGAGGGACGCGTCACAGACCCTACTAGTCCATGAGTCTGCTACTCATCTAGCCGTCAGGATATTCGAAAACTAAGGGGCGCTTGGCGAAAGAGGACCCCAAAAATCGAGCTAATGAGGGGCGGGGTAAAAGGATCCCTGCGTGGTTTACGTAAAGCGGCTTTGTGGAAGAGGAACCGCCATTGCGCTTGTTCGGAGACCCCGAGGCCAGAAGAAATATATAATCCGATATCTGGTACAAAGGGTGCCTTGGAGCTGAAGGAAAGGCGGGAGCGAAATTTGTGATAACGTGTTATAACGTGTAGCGAAATTTGCACGTTAGTGTAGCTTCACCTCTTACAACCCACGTTAGTGTAGCTTCACCTTTTCTGGTGCACTTTGGGTTGTGTGTATTATAACATTTCACATCTTGTGCAGCAACCCACATCCCACCTACGGTATATCTATTCACAGGTCTAGGTTAAGATCTATATGTTGACTTGCCCTACTTGGCTCGTGCTGATCGCTAGTCTGAGAAAGCACGCAACCGAACAATCTGTTACCCGCACCCAACACATTACCACCTTCAAGACCCTTATTTCCAGCAGATGCTTCAGTCTCCCTCCCACTGCACCCAACATCCTCAAAACACGCAGCTCGCTTCACCGCCCAATCTTCCCGGCTTTCCACATCACGACTGACAGACGAAAGAACCCGGCCAAACAACAAAGGCTGTTGCTGAGCTGGTTCGGTTGCAAACGACTGGCTTTGCCGTGACTCTGTGCGAAAAGGAATATCTTGCCCCACCTCAGAAGCATTCCTTGGGGTTTCCCTATCCTTGCACACACTGCCTCTCGTGTCCATTGAACTAGGGCTCTGGATCTGGATAGGGTGCTGACCTGTCTCTCCAACAGCTGCATCACGATCCTCGATATAAGCTGACTCGGTCATAGGCACGGCACGTGAACTGTTCGGGCGAGTACACTCTGGTTCTGAGACATCATGAGGGGGGAATAGCTGGAGGCGATGTGAGAGTGCTTGATGTTCTTGTGGTCCCAGCTCAAGACATGGCGGCAGTGGCAGAGCCACCAACTGCTGCTGCTGCTGCTGCAGCTGTTGCTGTTGCTGTTGTTGCTGCTGTTGCGGCTGCTGTTGTTGCTGCTGCTGCCACTGCTGCTGTTGCGGCTGCTGCTGCTGCTGCTGTTGCGGCTGCTGCTGCTGTGCAAGCCGCTTTGGCATCGCCTGGCCTTGTTCCTGTCCGAGCCACCACATTTGTGGCTGTGCCTGCTGCTGCTGTTGTGCCTGCGGCTGCTGTTGTGCCTGCGGCTGTGTCTGCTGCTGCTGCGGCTGCGCCTGTTGCTGTTGTTGGGACTGCTGTTGCACCTGCTGCTGCTGTTGCACCTGCTGCTGAGCCTGCTGCTGCTGCGGTGGCTGCGGCTGTGCCTGCTGTTCTGAATGTTGCGGTTCCCGCTGCTTTACCTGCTGCACAGCCATGCCGCTATTCTCATGCACCCCAGCTCCCCCACTCCTAGAAGTTCCCGCCAAAACGCCACCATACCACCCGCTTTTCATCCTGCAGGGCACCGAGAAGTAGGAACACATAGACGAGCAGCAAGGCGGAGGCAGATCCAAGCTCATGGATCGAGCCGTTTCCTGAATCTCACGCGCAAACCCCTCTGCTGTAGGCAGCTTAGCAGGCAGGCTCGCCGTGCTTGCCGCTGCTGCTGCTCCTCCGACCCTTCTCCGCCTGTGTGCGGGTGCTGATGCCGCATCAGACGGGCGATTCGTGGGGCTTGCCAGAGCTGCTGATGTGGCTCTCCATTGCTCTGATTGCCACGTGCTGCCACGGCTTGTGCTGCTGCTGCGAGGAAAAGGCTGGCTCTGACAGCGTTTCCTGGAGCCAGAAGCGGTGGAGTCCGGTTCTGATCCTACCCTCTTTCCTGAGAAGACCGGCTTTGGAGCAATCGGTTCAGAAAGACGAAATCCTGAATTGTCGCGGTTCAGAGGGGCCTGGGTTGCTGGCGAGTGGCCGGGTTGAGCTGGTGACGGAAAGAGCGGCAGAAGAGAGTCGGTGTAAGGGGATTCCTCACTCGGGGGAGCACTGCGAGGCGATGAAGAAGGGTACGGGAATGGAGGTGGATCCATGGCTGCTGGTGTTGCCATGCCTTGCTACAAGCAGGCGGTTTGAGACAGGTTTCTCTGACTATGAGACCTCCAGGCGTCTGTTGACACTCGGATCACACTTCTGGTATCGCTGTTGACAATGGTGTATTGTTACTTAGCCTAAGGTGCGCTGCGCTCTCGGAGCAACTGTGGGTCTCCCACATCAGGGCACCGAAGGCTCGTAGTATGAATAGTGTAGTAGTAGCTTCACGCGATCTTCGTCCAGCTCCCCAATTGGATTCAGAAGCTGAATGAACCTATTCCTGAAAACACATAATGATAGGCATCGCTCTTGAGGAAGGAGATTTGTGCCCTCCAGAACTCGAGGTTGAGTGAAAGTTTGGGTTTGGTTCGGGCCCACGCCAGCTGGCAAGGCCTGGCGGGGCGAACCACAGGTGAAGGAAGGGTTTCGCAATCTCGGAGGACTTGCTCGTCCCACCGGGAGGAGTAATTTCGGGACGGCCAGATTGTGATCGTCCCTATGAGGGCAAACTGAATTGACGCAACAGATTTTCAATCCGGCGATTCTATGTCAGTTGATACAGTTCTTAGACGGCGATTTCATGCACTTAGCCGACCGTTCCCTTCCTCCCAGCCAGGCTGGACGACCTTTCCCTTCCCAGCCAAGCTGGACGATCGGACGGATCAATGCTGTATCCGATCTTGTAACGGATCGTGAAACGAGGACGATTGTGATGACAGTACGATTCTGTATTCAACCAAGGATTGTTGAGGAGGAAGATGAAAGCAGGCTGCTTGGTGTGTGCATCGAGTAGATTTGGGCAGATATGCTAGGAAGAGTGGAGACGGGTACGTCTGTATGTAACCCAGGTCCGGTGGAAAAACACAGATATGGCATCGCAGACGTTATGTATCTGCTGCGGCGGACGCAAATCTCATCAAAATGAACAGACACACTGGCGAACAATGGGGCACACTGGGGCTGGCACAGGCAAAACAGCCTGCGAGTCATGCTGAAAATGCATTTGTGGGTGGTGGTGAGGTGAGTGAGGTGATTGGGAGAAGAGAAAACTGTTCGTTGGCTTTGGTTCGGTCACTTTGCTCTGATTGAAGGAAGACGAGACAAACGGTTTGCTGTTGTGGCTGCCACCGTTCAAATCGTATCGGATAGGCCATCCAAGATTTGGCTGCTCTATAGTCCGGGACATATCCGCAGAGCAAAAATTTGGTTCTCTCGAGCTTGCATTTCTCGGCAGATGAGTGAATGTAAGAGAGGGAGGGAGCGGATGGTCCCTCGCCTCACCGGAAAATCTAGGATCTCAAAGAAGGGGTCCAAGTAACCTATGCGGTTTGCCTAGGTTTAGTACGTTTCAACGGGTTGGACATGGTGGGGTGCAACCATTGTCAATGAGTAAGGTAAGGCCAACGGCGACGAAATCCAGCACGCCTGAGGACGGAGGATTCGGTGCGGGAAGGCTCAAGTCGGGACGAAATCAATTCCAGATATTCAACGATGTCTGGGCAGAGAAACCAATTTCTTGTGGGTTTCCAGCACCATTTCAGAAGCTCAAGTAGCATTTATGTGAGAGCGGGTGGAATGGTCCAACACTAAACTTACAACAAGTGTACGGGCAGAAACCGTAATCCTTGCGAACTGAACGATTAGATTTGCTCACGTGGACCGAACATGGGGAACATGACCGATGATTCTCATGAAAATTAGTGAATTTTTGATAACTGCAACTTCAGATACCTCACACGGAGCAATAGCTCAGTGGTAGAGCAATCGACTGCAGATCGATAGGTCCCCGGTTCAAACCCGGGTTGCTCCTGATATTTGCAGGTTTTATGATGTGGCAATATTTCGGGTTTACTGGTGTCACCACTCTGTACAGAAGCTTTTGGCAGATAACTTGTTTTTATTTCTGAAACATGTCTGCCACAAGCTAGCAATAGGTGACCCTAAACGGGTCGAGCTCATGCTCCATCGAGCCCGATAATCAGCCCACAAGATTGATAGAAACACTCATGTATGGTGGCTCCAAATCCTCAGTTAGGGACGGGTATTACTCTTGAATATTACTGTAATGGCAACAACATGGAGATATAGTATCCCTTTGGGCAGCCTTCAAGTGCTGTGTCAGAATCCCAGTCACTAGACCACTGGGATAAAAGGGCTTGTTAAGTAGCGGGTCAGTGCGCCCATAACCCCCCAGGCCAACATGCCTGTAACCCTTCCCTAGGATCAATCAGGGATCACCAGTGGTCCTCAGACACCCCCCCGTACTGGGATGCCCGAAGTGCACACACAGGGATTCGAACCCGAGACCTTCGCTCTGATACCATGTCAAGTTTAGGAGATTATGCAGTACGTAAGTTTAGGAGAGGTTTAGTAAGGAGAATCATGGAGGGAGAAGTTTGGCCAAAAGAGGGGATTCACTAAGGAATGTTTACAAGATATAGGATAGGGGAGAGGATAGGGTACACCACCAGCAGTTGAACCTAATAACTAACTAATACACTAGCAAGCTGTAGGCAGTTGGGATATGCAATATAATTCAACACACCCCCGTAACTGCCTACGGCTATAGCTAGTGGTGTCTGGCACCAGGTCGCCTGGAGAGCGGTTGCTGTAGCTGGGATAGGCACAGAAACAGCGGTGGCTGGGCGGCAGCACCTGTGAACGCCAGAACGGAGGAGGGCGCGGAGAGCGCGGAGGAGGGCTGGGATAGCCGGAGGGCGAAGGATGCTGGTCGCTCGCCATCTACGAGCAAACACAACTGTTGGTGAGGAGGAGGAAGCTGGTGGTGGTGCACAGGAGGAGAGCAGAGGAGATGCGGCTGGAGAGGAGAGAGGAGGAGGAGATGCGGCTATAGGAGAGGAGACTGGAGGAGGAGATGCGGCAGAAGGAGAGGAGAGGAGAGAGGAGGAGATGCGGCTGGAGGAGAAGAGGAGAGGAGAGGAGAGGAGAGGAGAAGAGGAGGAGGAGAGGAGAGGAGAGGAGAGGAGAGGAGAGGAGAGGAGGTGGCTGGCGCGGCAGAAGCTTTCCCGCCACCCCCTCATCCCCCTCCCCCCCATGCGCTGGCGCTGGCGGAAGTGCTGGCGCTGGGCGCTGGCGTCGCGCTGGCGCTGGCGCCCGCCGTTGGCGCTGGCGGTGGCGCCCGCCGTCGGCGCTGGCGTCCGCGCTGGCGCTTGCGACCGCCGTTGGCGCTGGCGGTGGCGCCCGCCGTCGGCGCTGGCGCTGGCGCCCGCCGTTGGCGCTTGCGCTGGCGCCCGCCGTCGCCTCGCTGGCACGCTCGCCACTGGCAGAGCGCGACGGGGCAGGCGAAAGGGGGCAGCGCGACGGGAGCTGCAAAAGCAGCGGAGTTCGAGCCAGCAGCGGATTTCGCGCTACTAGCAGTAGCAGCCATGCCAGCAGCACAATAAGTCGCCATGGCAGATCGCGGGTTTGGTGGGCCCATGAAAACAAGGTCCTAGGAGGGACCACGCTCTGATACCATGTCAGAATCTCAGTCACTAGACCACTGAGACAAAAGGGCTTGTTAAGTAGCGGGTCAGTGCGCCCATAACCCCCCAGGCCAACATGCCTGTAACCCTTCCCTAGGATCAATCGGGGATCACCAGTGGACCTCAGACATGCTGCTCCTCGTTCACTGCTCCATCCGTTCTCACTGCTTCATCCGTTCTCACTGCTCCTTCCTTATTCATTGGTTCCTCCATGCATCCCTCTGCACTGAACAGCTCCAGAGCTGATGGCAGGCCCACCCAGGCCCACCCAAGCCCACCCAAGCCCACCCAAGCCCACCCAAGCCCACCCAAGCCCACCCAAGCCCACCCAAGCCCACCCAGGCCCACCCAAGCCCACCCAAGCCCACCCAAGCCCACCCAGGCCCACCCAGGCCCACCCAGGCCCACCCAGGCCTCGCAGAGGCGAGCACTGCTAACCAATCAAGCATCCCTCTGGACAGCCTTCAAGTGCCGCTCTGTGTTCACTGTGTTCACTGCTCTCTCCATGCCTCCCTTTGCTTTAAACAGCTCCAGGGCTGAGGGCAGGCCCAGCCCCAGCATCTGAGCCACCTCCGAGGCCTGAAAAGGGGTGGGGGGGGGAGGGAAGGAGAGAAAGAGGGATAAAGAGGGGGAAAGAGTGCGCACTCCAATATTTCTCCCTATGCACTGGACAACAAAGGTCCCCTTCCCTGTCTTCCACACACCCCTCCCAGCCTCACCTGCTCCTCCAGGGTTGTGAGGCGGACAGCTGTGGTGCGCATGTGATTGGACCGTCGCCCGCGTCCTCTCCACTCTCACCTAGTCTAACCTTGCCGATTGGCCTCTCTACTCGTATATAGGCCTATTTTCGAGTCGACTAAAAAATGTGCACATACGATTCGACCATCGCCTCGCCCCCGTACCCTCCACTCTCACCTAGCCAAACCTTGCCTCTGCCACGAAGCACCAGACTCCCCATGCCCTGTCTTCTACACCCTCACCCGTGCCTCCCCCCAGCCTCACCCGTTCCTCCCTCCGAGCCTCACCCGTGCCTCTCCCCAGCCTCACCAGTTCCTCCCTCCGAGCCTCACCCGTGCCTCTCCCCAGCCTCACCCGTTCCTCCAGGGTCGTGAGGCGGGCAGCAGTGGTGCGCATGCGACCATCTGCCCCGTCCATGTGCTTGCTCACGCTGATGTGCGCGTCGGCATGCACTGCCACCTGCGGCAGGTGGGTGATGCAGATCACCTGGCGGCAGGAGGGTGTGGTGTGGTAGGCAGAAAATGAAGGGGGGGAATGGAACAGCAGTGGTGCACATGCGCATGCGGCCATCGGCCCCGCCAATCTGCTTGCTCACGCTGATGTGCGCGTCGGCGTGCACTGCCACCTGCGGCAGGTGGGTGATGCAGATCACCTGCGGGAAAGGGGGTGTGGGGCAGGGAGAATGGAGGGGGAGGAGTGGTGCAGCAGTGGTGCGCATGCGCCCATCAACCCCATCCATGTGCTTGCTCACAACGATGTGTGCGTCTGCATACACTGCCACCTGCGGCAGGTGGGTGATGCAAATGACCTGGGGGCAGGGGGGTGTGGCAGGGGGGTGTGGCAGGGGGGTGTGGCAGGGGGGTGTGGCAGGGGGGGCAGGGGGGTGTGGCAGGGGGGTGTGGCAGGGGGGTGTGGCAGGGGGGTGTGGCAGGGGGGTGTGGCAGGGGGGTGTGGCAGGGGGGTGTGGCAGGGGGGTGGGGAGGCAGGAGGGAAGAAGGGAAGGGACAAGGTGCATGCGCCCATCAACCCCGTTAATCTGCTTGCACCTTGTCCTTTCCCTTCTTCCCCCCTGCGCTCACACTCATGTGCGTGTCTGCGTGGGGCAGATGGGTGATGCACATGACCTGGAGGGAAGGGGGTGTGGGGGCAGGGAGAATGAAGGGGGGTGAATGGTACAGCAGTGGTGCGCATGCGACCATCGGCCCTGTCCACGTGCTTGCTCACACTCATGTGCGACTTTTGAGGCGCCTCAAAAGTCCACGTGCTTGCTCACACTGATGTGCGCGTCTGCGTGTACTGCCATGCCACCTGGGGCAGGTGGGTGATACATATGACCTGGAGGAAAGGGGGATGCATCGTGATGTGGCGTGTGGGGTGTGTCAAGTGGGGCATGGGATCAGCTGGAAGCACCCGAGCGTTCACACACTGATGTGTGTGTCTGCACGCACGGCCACCTGCAGCAGGTGGGTGATACATATCACCTGGGGGCAGGGAGTGTATTAGCAGGAAATTTCTTGCAGGGAAGGCTACACCTGGTAAACTCTTAGGTAAATGTCTTGCAGGGAAGGCTACACCTGGTAAACTCTTAGGTAAACCCACGTAGTTTCACCTGTATTGAAATACACCCTCTCGGTCAGCCACAATTCAAAAGCTTACTACCTGGTTACCCACGGTTATAAGGAACCTCACCTAGTTACCTATGAGTTAGTGTGTACTAACCTGGTTATCCTGTCTGCGCAGGTGTACTAACCTGGTTACCCTGTCTGCACAGGTGTCGCAGGGCGAGGGCGAATCGGGAAGCGATCCTGCCGCCCACACCGCTGTCCAGCTCATCAAACACCGACACGCTGACACCTGGCACGCTCCCATTGGCTGCTGGGAGTTCATTGCTGCTGCTTGTGCTTGTTTCCAAAGATGATGGGGAGGTGGGACTGGTGGAGGCGGTATCTGTGGTGGTGCTGCTGGTGGAGGCGGTATCTGCAGTGGTGCTGGTGCTAGTGGTAGCTGCAATGATCTTGAGCGCTGGAGAAATGGGGAAGGGAGAAACGGAGGGAAGCGAACAAGGAAGAATGGAAGAGTCGGGAGGGGCATTCACCAATGTCCTCTCAACTGCAAGCATTACTGCGGCACAGTTTTGAGACGTCTCAAAGCTCGACTACTTTCACGCAGACTTTATGTCGAGAGGGGCATTCACCAATCTGCAAGCATAACTGCGGAACGAATCTAGCCCTATTAACTCAACATGACCAGGCACAGCACCTCAGCCCAACCTCACTTCAGGCCAGTCCAATCCAATCCACCCAGCACGATCCCTCAGCTAGCCCATCCCATCCCACCCCACCCTCCCCACCCCACCCCACCCCACCCCACCCCACACTACCCCACCCCACCCCACCAAGCATGATTCGGGAGCACTCGCCACCCGACGCCACTTGGGAGAGCGGCAGCAGAGGCTCTCCCGGATTGGCTGACAGTTGAAACACCACCTGCATTGGAGCAGATGGGACTGGATTGATTTGGTGGTTCGGATGGCACTGGGATTATTTGGAAGGGTGAGCCAGTTGAAACACCACCTGCATTGGAGCGGATGGGACTGGATTGATTTGGTGGTTCGGATGGCACTGGGATTATTTGGAAGGGTGAGCCAGTTGAAACACCACCTGCATTGGAGCGTGAGCACTGGCATTGATTTATAAACGTTCCAGTATGTGAAGTATCGAACAAATGGCTCACGCTCATGCCACCCACCCTCGTGCTCATGCCACCCACCCTATCCATGCCAGTGCTGCTGTATCGATAGAGCACGTCGCTCCTCTCGCCCACACTCTCAGCCCCCTCCACTCGTATCAATCCCTCCTCCACCAAAATCTCTGTCCCATGCTGCTTCTGCTGCCCGCTTTCCTCCTCCTCTTCCCCCTCCTCCTCCTCATCGTCTTCCTCCTCTTCTTCCTCCCTTTCCTCTTCCTCATCGCCTTCCCCTTCCTCTTCCCACTCTGATTCTACCTCCCTTCCCCAGCCGCCACTCCCCCCTACCCTCCTCGCCCTCACTCCCTCTCCTCCACCACCCCTTCTTCTCTCTTGCATGCTGAGCTGTGATTGGCTGAGAGGAGCTGACGTGGCACTGTAGAAGTGGGGGGCTGCTGGCTCCTGCAAACGAGGGGGGAGGAGCGGGGGACAGGGAGGGGAGGGGAGCGGAGGGGCACGGATGGGATGGGATGGGAAGGGAGGGGAGGAGAGGGGAGGGAGGAGTCGAGACGGAATGGGGAGAGAGGAGTCTGAAAGAACGAAGGGGTGGAGGAGATGGGGAGCCAGGGAGAAAGGATGAAAGAGCAGAGGGGGAAGAGAAGGAGAGCAGCGGAGAAGCGGGCGGGGCAGAAAGGGGAGACGAACGGAGGGGGTAATTTAGGAAGGTCAGATACCCAATGCAGAATCTACTCATGAGCAGCTTACCCACATGGCCAATGCTCTGAACCATGCGGCACCCACCTATTATTGACTTTGGAACTATACCGGCATTCGCTCACCCTTTTTCCAATCATCTGCCATCAACCCCTTGCCATCATCCCCCCCAACCCAACCCATCCCCTTCTTACCCACGACACGACCGCTCTGAACCGCGCGGCACCCATCTCCAGCCCTCTCAGCACGCCCTCCACTCTCTCCCCCAGGTCCTCTGCTGCCACCCGCCTCCTCCTGCTAGCTGCCAAAAAGAGCCGCCCGATCTCCGCAGCGAGGTGGCTCATTTCGTCTTGTAGCTCCCTTCGCCTCTTCTCCACACTCCCTGTTGTGATTTTGCAAGGGCAGGAGGTAGGAAAATTGGGGGGGAGAGGCAGGGGGGATGAGGCCGAGGGCAGGGGGGATGAGGACGAGGGCACACGGGGAAGGGGGTTCAGGAAAAGGGGATGAAGGGGGCGGTTTAGTTTGGAGTGAGTGGGCGAAGGTGTGTTTTCAAGCGATGAGGAAGAAAGGAGAAATGGGGCATGGAACATGGGGCATGGAACATGGGGCATGGAACATGGGGCATGGAACATGGGGCATGGAACATGGGGCATGGAACATGGGGCATGGAACATGGGGCATGGAACATGGGGCATGGAACATGGGGCATGGAACATGGGGCATGGAACATGGGGCATGGAACATGGGGCATGGAACATGGGGCATGGAACATGGGGCATGGAACATGGGTCATGGAACATGGGTCATGGAACATGGGTCATGGAACATGGGTCATGGACCATGGGTCATGGAACATGGGTCATGAGTCATCAAATGGGGATTGACGCATGGGACATGGGAATGGGGCATGTTACGGGGAATGGGGCATGTTACGGGGAATGGGGCATGTTACGGGGAATGGGGCATGTTACGGGGAATGGGGCATGTTACAGACAGGGAATGGGGTATGAGGTATCGAGCATGAGGCACAAACGAAACCTAATCAGCACACAGAGAACAGCCACTGCCATCACCATCACACAGCAAAACCAACATCAACACCATCAGCATCACCAGCATCAGCATCACCAGCATCAGCATCACCAGCATCAGCATCACCACCATCAGCTTCACCACCATCAGCATCACCACCATCAGCTTCACCACCATCCGCATCACCACCATCCGCATCACCACCATCAGCTTTACCACCATCAGCATTACCACCATCAGCATCACCACCATCAGCAATACCACCATCAGCATCACCACCATCAGCATCACCACCATCAGCATCACCACCATCAGCATCACCACCATCAGCATTACCACCATCAGCATCACCACCATCAGCATCACCACCATCAGCATCACCACCATCAGCATCACCACCATCAGCATCACCACCATCAGCATCACCACCATCACCACCACCACCATCTGATCTTCCGCTGTCTGGGCGGTTGGCCACCAGCAGCATCGCACCTGACTAAACCATTTCCAGCATCAGCATCAGCATCAGCATCATAAACATCAGCATCAGCATCAGCATCAGCATCATAAGCATCAGCATCAGCATCAGCATCAGCATCAGCATCAGGATCAGCATGAGCATGAGCATGAGCATGAGCATGAGCATGAGCATGAGCATGAGCATGAGCATGAGCATCAGGATCAGCATCAGCATCAGCATCAGCATCAGCATCAGCATCAGCATCACCATCAGCATAAGCATCAGCATCACCATCAGCATCAGCATAAGCATAAGCAACAGCATGAGCATGAGCATGAGCATGAGCATGAGCATGAGCATGAGCATCAGGATCAGCATCAGCATCAGCATCAGCATCAGCATCAGCATCAGGATCACCATCAGCATAAGCATCAGCATCAGCATCAGCATCAGCATAAGCATAAGCAACAGCATGAGCATGAGCATGAGCATGAGCATGAGCATGAGCATGAGCATGAGCATCAGCATGACCATCGTCATCGTCGCACCTGAGGTGGCGATCTGATCTGCCGCCGTCTGGGCCGCCGACCAGAGCTCTGCTGCTGATCGAATGGCGTGGCGCTTGCGAACAATTTCTATCTGCCAGCCACGATGCAGCATTGGTGCGGTGCAGTGCGGTGCGGTGCAGTTTTGGTGGAAGCAGCACAGAGCAGGGAGAAGAGAGCAACGGGCACACCAGAGGGTAGGGAGCAGAGAGGAGAGAGCAGAGAGCAGAGAGGAGAGAGGAGTCGGACAAGTGTGTCAGAACAAAGGGCAGTGCCAGCAAGAACAAAGAGCAGTGCCAGCAAGAACAAAGGGCAGTGCCAGCAAGAACAAAGGGCAGTGCCAGCGAGAACAAAGGGCAGTGCCAGCAAGAACAAAGGGCAGTGCCAGCGAGAGACAATTAGAAGATTGTTACACGTCAAGAAGAAGCGCAGATTGCACGAGACACCTGTTATGCCACACACCCTCCTCTACCAAGAGGATATTGGATCGAAGTCTCATCCAATTGTGCTCATACCCTCTGATCTTTCCCATTCCCAGAATTGGCACTACCATACCGCTCTGCACCGCTCTGCACCGCTCATCACCTCTCTCAACCGCTTTTTGAGCCGGTCCATGCGTTCCCGTGAGAACCGCAGGTCGTCCAAGTAGCACTCCACGTGGTCCTTCTGGTGTGGTGCAGTGCGGTGTGGAATGGTGTGGTGAGGTGTGATGCGGTGCCATGGGGTGGGGTGCAATGCAGTGGAGTGCAAGGGGATGCACGTCACAGCACAGATAGAAAAAAAGCCGTCCAAGTGGAATGAAATAAATCATGGTAAGAAATCTGCGGCAAGAAGATTGAAGGGAAGAAACTGGTAAGAACGGACGGACTACCGCTCTGTCTTCAGCTCTCACCGCTCTGTCCTCATGACTCACCGCTCTGTTCTCGCCACTCCGCTCTGTTCTCAACACTCACCGCTCTGTTCTCAGCACTCACCGCTCTGTTCTCAACACTCACCGCTCTGTTACCACCACTCACCGCTCTGTTACCACCACTCACCGCTCTGTTCACACCACTCACCGCTCTGTTACCACCACTCACCGCTCTGTTCACCAGCATCTTAGCTTCCCCCAGGAGCTCCAAAGCAGCTGAAACATCCTCCAACCTCCCCCTCTGCACATACCCCCCTGCACCACCCCTCCCTCCCCTCTTCCCTTTCCTCCCAATCCCCTCATCCTCCTCCCCCTCCTGCTCTTCCTGCTCCTGCTCCTCCTCCTCCACCTCTCTCAACTCCTCCACAGCCTTACTCAACCCATGCAGCACGCCTAACGCTCCAGTCCCCTCCAGCATCCCGTGGGCGCGACTACAGCTCTCAGCTGCCCTGCCTGCCCGCTCGTGCTCCTTGATCTCCTCCCTAATCGCCTCCACCTCGCCTTCTTTCAGGCCTAACCTTTCCACATCGTCCACCTGAAGGGCAATGAAGGAGAAAATATGGGCCAGGGAAAGGGCATACTTTCAATGAGCAATAATTCGAGACGAAGTGAGGCAGCGTGCAACGGGCATACGGAGCACCAACGCGCCATTTTCCCTCATCTGCTAAGCTGTCTTCCCTGATCTTCTGTGCCTTCTCCTCCTCTCACCACTTCCCACCTCCTCGCACCATTTCCTATCTCCTCTCACCAGTTCCCACCTGCTCTCACCACTTCCTACCCCGTCTCACAACTTCCTACCTCGTCTCACCACTTCCTACCCCGTCTCACAACTTCCTACCTCGTCTCACCACTTCCTACCTCGTCTCACCACTTCCTACCCCGTCTCACCAGTTCCTGCAGCACCATCAGCGCCTGCTCCCCCCCTGCCTCCTGAAGCTTCTTCTGTTCCTCCCACACCTGTTGCGCCCTCGCCAACAACACTCCCACCTCCACCCTCTCCTCCTCACCCTCCTCATCTCCCTCCTCTTCCTCCTCTCCCTCCCTTCTCCCCTCCTCTTCCTCCTCCCTCGTCCTTCCCTCCCCCTCTCTCTCCTTCCCCACACCCTTCCCTCCACCCTTCTCCATCCCTTCCCCATCCCCCCACCGCGCTGCAAATCTATCCAGCAGCATCAGCTGAGCGCCTTCGCTTCTAAGAGCCCCCTGCGCGTTTTGCCCGTTCAGGTCCACCAGGGCTGCACCCACGGCACGCAGAACCTTCAGAGGCACCACCACTCCATTCACCCGGCACACACTCCGCGCCTTGCTGCTCCTGCCCTTGCTTCCGCTCGAGCTCCTGCCCTTGCTCCCGCTCTTGCCTCCGCTCTTGCTGCTGCTTCCTCCTCTGTTGCTGCTGCCATCAGCCTCAGACTCGCTATAAGCATCACCATCAGCAGCAACAGAGCGGAAAATCTCCCTTTCTAGAATCACCTTCATTCTCACACGACCAGCACTGCTCATTCCTGAACCACGCTCCTCCTGCTTTCCGTTTTTATCACCTGCACCATCAGCTAAACCACCTCCCCCAGTAACGGCCTTCACCACATCTAGCCTACCTTCCTGCCTGAGGAATTGCAGGAGGGAGTGAGAGGCGGAGGGGGAGAGGGAGAGATGTGCGGAGAGAGAGGAGGAGAGGGCCGGTGGTCGTACAGAGTCCTCAGATGCTGCTGCTCCCAATACCTTGATTTGAGAAAGGAGGGCAGGAAAAGAGGGGAAAAGAATGGAAAGGGAAAGTTTGAGTGGAAAGGATGAGGGGGGGAGGAGAGGGCTGGGGGTAGCACAGAGCCTTCTGATGCTGCTGACCCTATGGAAAAGCCCTTTAAAAATTCTCCAACACGGCTAGATTCTCCCTATAGCCTCACCTGCCCTATTGCCTGCACGATGATTGACTTGCCGGACCCGCTGTCGCCTGTGATGACGTTGAAAGCAGGCGAGAAATGCAGCACCTGGCGCTCCACCAGCGCGAAGTCCCTGGGGCAAGGAGAGAGTGATTGAGTGAGTGAGTGAGTGGCGACAGGGAGAAGAGAGTGCAAGGAAGGAAGGGAAAGCTATGACCATCCCACGACCATCCCAACCACCATCCCAACCACCATCCTAACCGGCTATCAGGTGGCTAACTAGCAAATGTTGATTTAACGCCAACTCAAAGTAGCGAATAAGACCAACACTCACCCTGCCACTCACTCACACCCAATCACACCCAACTCACTCACACTCTACTCAGCCACTCACTACCGCACCACACACCTAATATGTAGCTCCTCCAACACTGCCTCCGGCTGCACTCTCCCCCCCACCTTCCCCTCCCACCATTTCACCCCATCCTCCCTCTTTCCCCTCGAATCTTTCCCCCGCCTCTCCCACTCCGCCTCGCCTGTCCCCTCCCTTTCCCCCTCCACCACCGCCTCCGCCTCCGCCTCCCCTTCCCCCGTTCCCCCTAGCTGCGCCACAATCTCCGCCCACACCTCCCCGGAATCCCTCTCCCGCCCCACTGCCTCTATTTCCTCCCAGAAATTATCCTCCCATTGCGTCCCGCCCCTTCCGCCCCTCCCGCTGCTCCTGCTGCTCCTGCTGCTACTGCTGCTCCCGCCGCTCCTGTTATAGCCGCTTCTTCTGTTACCAAAACCACTCCTGCTGCTACTATACTCGCTACTGTTTTCATGTCCGTTTCCGTTTCTGCTCAAAATCCCGTTGCTGCTGATGCTACTGTTGCTGCTGCCACTGCTGTTGCTGCTGTTGCTGCTGTTAATGCTGCTCCCGACGTAATTACGGCTGTGAATGCTGATGCTGTTAGTGCCAATACTCCTACACGAGCTACTGCCACCGAATCCGTTTCTTCCTGTAGAGATTCTTCCAGCCAATCTTATAGCGGGAGCTCCAAATCCTCTGCTCCTCCTCCTATCGATACTATTACAACCGGCAGCAGCACCTCTCGTGACAGTAGCAAAACCTGACCGCGGAAAAGCCTGGTTGGATAAATAACAGCCGCCAAAAGCGGCGGATCTGACACGTGGCCGCGAAACGGAGAGGCTCTGCGAGCGAGGCCAGGGACTAACGGTCCTGGTTCCGCCGGGTCTGCTACAAACGCAACCTGTTATAGCGCGTCCTGAGACGCGTCTTAAAGAAACGCATTCCATGGCGGAATCGCTAGTAACGCGTATTCTCGTTCCGCATTTGGTACTAGAAGGTAACACTACGACGGGCTCGGAAAAGCGCGCATTGGCGATTGGAGAGGCGAACGGTAACATGCGTCCGCGAGGAAATGCTAGCGACACGGAAACGAGCACCGCGAAGTAGACCAGCTCGGCAATACCGAGGAGAGCAGTAGGTTTCGAGCGTCGCCGACGAGCTTTCGCACCCACGAGAGTGCAATGTGGAAAGAATCTAGAGGCAGCACCTGGAAATCAACTTTGCTCGAATCTCGCGGAGTCTTCCTCGAGCCGTAATGCAAATTTGTACCCGACAAAGGAGACAGGCGGGCTACAAGTATTATGGCCAAGGATGAGACAACTTGATTGTCAATCTAGCATGTTAATTACGCAACATGTACCTATCACTAGCTAAGAGAGAAAAAAAACCTACCAGACAACAATGAAAAGAGGAAATCAGATACTCCCTTTCCTACGCAACGTGGTAATTATGCACCAGTCTAGAGAAGCCAAGCGCCTGTAACTCCTGATTCACCCAATATAATATAATGTTAGGGAGGAAGTTCCTTGCAATCACTTGGGAGTGTGTAATGGGGGGAAATCCTCGTCCTTGAGTTCATATAGAGCGTCTTCCCCTCTGCAGCATGCAAGACGTGAACGCGCAGCAGAACGATGCAGACAAAAAATGGTGCTCAAGATCGGTGTTGGTGTGGGTTTGGAGAGAATTTGCACAATACTTGGGACGCATGGACAAGGTATGTATTGCAGACCATAGCTTTGAAATGACATGCTGTGGACTTGAGTAAAGTATGGAGAGGAGTGGAGAGGGGTGGAGTGGAGTGGAGTGGAGTGGGGTGGAGTGAAGTGGAATGGAGTGGAGAGGAGTGGAGAGAATCGGGTGCGTTGGAGTGGAGAGGCATGGAGTGGAGTGGAATGCTGAAGGGATCACCTTATTCTTTTCCCTGCTTTGGGAGAGTTCAACACCGGGGAGCCACTTCCGCTCCCACTCTGCCCACTCCGACCCGCCCCTACGCCCGCACTCCCCTTCCCACCCGCCCGAGGCGACATCGACCGCAGAGACGGTGGCACCGCCGACGCTGCAGGCGACAAAGCTGAGCCTGCAGCACCCTTGCCAGCGCTGCTCCTGCTCTCCGCCTTCCCCCCAGTACTGCTGAACCCTCCTCTCTCCCTGGCACTCACCACTGAGCTACCTCCACTGGAACTACTCTTAGGCCCTGAGACACCAGAGGCACCTGAGCTACCTGAAGAAACTCCTGGCCCTGCTGTTGGTGCGCCAGGTGCCATGGACCCTCCAGAACTCCCCAGCCCATCTGAGCCCCCATCACTGCCACCACTAGAACCACCAGAAGCAGAACCAGCAGCAGCAGAACCAGCAGCAGTACCACCAGCAGCACCAGCAGCTGCAGTTCCTGTCAAGCCCAGGCCCTTGCGGTTACCAAGTCCTCCTCGGTGAGCGCTGTAGAACCTGTCTTCTGACCGGGACGCCCCTCCCAGGCTGCGCACTCGCTGTGGACCCTCACGAGCTGTGCCTTCCCTAGATGCCACCTCCCCTCCTGCTGCTGCTGACACTCCTGAAGCTGATGCTGTGGTAGCTGATGCTGCAGCAGCTGTAGTTGTAGCTGCAGCTGCGGGGCTGTTGCTGCGAGGAGTTCTGGGTTGTTGCTGCTGCGACAGCATAGGCTGCTGAGGTTGCTGCTGCTGTAAGGAGTACGGGCTGTTGCTGCGTCCTGCCTCAGGGAACCCTCCTTCCTCCCTCTGTGCCGCACTGCTCACAAGCGCACTACCCCCACCCTCACCAGCCGCCTCCAGTTCTCCCCACCCCGTGGCCTGTATCTGCTGCTGGGAAGCTCTTGGTGCCCTTTTCCCTGCCGCCTGCCTTTCTTCCCCCGGCCGTAAGGACGACCTCCAACTGATGGTCACCGTTTCCGCCGAAGCTAGAGGCTCGTCATCTGGTTCGGGCACTCGCCGGTCCAGCTCTACAGGCTCGGCGCCCTGCTGTGCCATGGGAGGTGCGCTAAATGGAGTGACAGGAGAGATGCTGTTGGAAAATGCGTTCTGGATGGAAGTAACTGCATTCGGAGCACCACCATCAAAACCACCACCACCAGAAGCAACAGGAACAGGAGCAGAAGCAGCAGCAGTGGGAGTGGCAGGAGCAGGAGCCGCACTGGCTGCAGTGGCTGCACCAGCCTTTCTACTAGTTGTGGAACCAGAGGGCTTCAACCCAAGACTCTGCTTCGGCTTTGCCAAAACCTGACCCTGCTGCTGTTGGGGCACCCCTAGTGCTCCCTTGAGTGCTGCTGGCTGCTGCTGTTGTTGGAGTTTTGAGGAAGGCTGTTCTGCCTGTTCTCCCATATCCTGAGCCTCTCCCCTACGATGCCCGACTCTCTCCCCTCCTCTTCCACTGCCTTCCCTTCCACCCCCTTCTCTCCCACTCCCTTCCCCTCTTCCGCTGACCTCTCCCCTTCCACTCCCCTCACCTCGGCCATCCTCCCCTCTTGTGCCCCCTCGCTGCTGCTTCCCTCCACCTGAATGCCGCGCCTCCCCTCTCACTGCACCGGCAGTGGTGCCATGGCCCCATTGAGAACCTTCCCCACTGCCCCAAGACGCAGACTCCCCAGCAGCATCAGCCCGTGGCTCTGCTACCCCACCTTCGCCCCCCACTCCACTGGCCCCCCTGCGAGGCTCTGCTAACACGCCCTCACTCCCCCCGCCGCTGCCGCCCCTGCCTCGCACCACGCGTGGAGCACTGGCAGAGGAAGACGATGGGTCTCTTGTGGCCACGGAATTGGACCGTGCACGCACTGAGGAAGAGGACAAGGAAGGCAACGAGGAGGAGGAGGAAGGGGACGAGGAGAGAGGACTGGGAGCAGCTGTATCACAGGCACCAGCTGCTGATGCTGATGTTTCAACGACAGAAGGAGAAACAGCAGAGGCCGATACACTGGAAGACGGGGGCACAGCAGGTGCAAGCCTCACTGCTTCTTGGGCTGATTCTGACCGCACGATCCCTGTGGGTTCGGGAGGAAAAGTCAGGTTTGGGCCAACGGAGGCGCCCTGCGAGCCTGCCAGTTTGCTTCTAGGAAGCCCCGCAAAGCCCGTCGCGGCTGTCCCAAAACTGCTGCTGGTGGCAATGCCGCTGGTGCCGGTGCTGCTGGTAGCAATGCTGCTGGTACCAGTGGTGCCACTGCCAGTGGTGCTGGTGCCGGTGGTGCTGGTGCTGCTGCCTGGTGCTCGCTTGGAGGTATCGATGCTGCCAGCACTGGCCACCCGGAGCATGCGGAACTCCCCACCACCGCTGCCATCCGCCAGAGCCTGCAGGATCTTGCTCTTGTCCAACCCACCTGCCTTCACACCACCACCAGCACCAGCGGCAGCCACAGCGGCAGCAGCTGTTGCAGTGGCGGGAGTAACAGCAGCAGGGACAGTAGCAGCAGCAGCAGCAGCAGCAGCAGCAGCAGCAGCAGCAGCAGCAGCAGCAACGGCAGGACCACCTGCCTCGCACCCCTCTCTGCTCTCCACACTCACTTCACCCGTGCTCAGCATCCCCTCCTCCTTCCCTCCTAGCCCTCCTCCCTCACCACCAGCTACTCTTCCCGTCCCTCCCTCTCCTCCTTCAGCCCCTCCTCCCACCCCCGCTACTCCCAACCCTCCTCCTCCACTGCCTGCCCCTGCCGCCCCTACACCTGGCACACTGCCGCCCGGGAGCATGCCAGCTTGGGGGGCATACATGAGCATGAAGGAGTATGGCCCACCTGAGAGCCCACCTGAGATTCCACCTGGTATCACACCAGGAGGGAACGTGCTTGGCTGCAGCAGCTGCGGGTTGGGCAGCACCTGCACCGCCTTGCTTCCCTCACTGCCTCCTGCAGCCTGCCCTGGCACAGGATTAGCCAGCACGGAGAGCGAGGGAGCAGTGACAGCAGGAGCAGCAGCAGCAGCCGCAGCAGCACTAGGCATCCCAGTGGCAGGAGCAGCAGCAGCGCCACTTGCTGTGGTTGGAACGCTTGGGGTTGCACCAGGGACACCTACGCCCTGTGCGCCAGGTGCACCTGCTTGCGTGACGGGAGTATTAGCAAGGACGTACGAGGGAAAGACACCAGGCGGACCGCCTAGATGAGACAGCAGGACAGCTTGGGGGCCTAACGGGCGGGAGAAGGGGTGGAGGGGGAATACGCCCCCTGGGTTAGCACCAGGACCTCCCCCTTGAACCCCTGGAACCCCTGAGGACCCTGGAACCCCAGTGGGGAAAGTGGATGGGACATATGGCTGCTGCTTTGTGGGATCGGTGCTTGGTTTGGATGGGCCAAACGTGGGTGACGGGATGGCAGACGTCGGGTGGAGCAGAGGGGTGGGTGCACCTGGGGAGGGTCTACTTGGGGCAGGTACGCCTGGGGAGGGTCTATTCAGGGCAGGTGACTGCCCTGGAGATTCCCTGCCCAATGGCATGGCTAACGAACCCACCAAAGGCGAACCAGTGGAGGTCAACGGGGTCAACGGGGTCAACGGGGTCAGCTGTGGCCCGGCAATCCCACCACCACTCCACCCACTAGCATCGCCACCACTGCTGCTGCTAGTGCCAACACCTGCCTTCCCCTCTCCCACAAACACCACGGGCGCCCCTGCTGCTGCCCTAGGACCTGTCCCAGGACCTGCCCCAAGTCCTGCCCCCAGTCCTGCCACGAGCCCTGGTCCTGTTTTCTCCACCTCCTCCCTCCCATCCCCTTCCGCATTCTTCCCCACCGCTGCAGACCCAGACAGACCCAGAGCGTTACCAGCCATAGGCGAACCCGCCCTGGCCAGTCCATCCGACCAATCACCTGCTGCCACGCCAGCGCCCTGGGCTTGCATGGGCGCATGGGCATGCGGGGGGAACATCCACGGGGGAGCGAGGTGGAGCGCCCTGATGGGGATTTGCGGGAGAAACGGCGCCATGCCTGGAATCTGGGCGAAGGGAGGGGCGCCAGAGGCAGGGCGGATGAGGGGAATGAAGGGGACGTGTCCTGGAGGCGGTGTGACTGACTTGACGCCCTCGGGTAAGGGGACCTGAACTCCCTCTGCTGCTCCTGCTGCTGATCCAATCAGCTCTCCCAACGCTTGCCTTGACTCCTGCAGCTTCGAGCCTGGCGCCTGCTGCAGCTGGTCCATCCTTTGCCACAACATAGGAGGTGGCACAGCAGCAACCGCAGCACCTGAGTCTCCCCTACCACCATCACCACCACTAGCGCTGCTACCAACAGCAACAGCAGCAGCGGGGGCACCTGCTGCTGCGTCTGAAACCCCAAGGCCATCCGCGTTAGCAGCACTGTCACCCACACCAAATGCTCCCCTGTACGACCCTTCCCCTTCGGCCCCTCCCGGTCGCACAGGCACGAGCCCAGGCGCTTGCGAAAAGCCTGCTGCTGCCGGCAGGGGCATGGGAAGCGCCATGTATGGAAAGAGCTGTGGGACTGGAGGAAGAGCCGCGGAACCTTCCGAGTTTGAAACAGGGAGCCTGGTTTGGGATCCTGGCATGATGTGTGGCAGGTTGCTGCCTGAACCTGGACCAGATGCCTTGGCCTCCCCATCTCGTCTCGGCTGTAGCTGCTGCTGTATCTGCAGCTGCATCTGCATCTGCTGCTGCAGCTGCTGCTGTAGCTGCTGGGAGAAGCTTTCATCCGACGGCTGAGATCCAAACGCCTGCAGCTGCTGCACAGGCATCTGTAGCAGCCGCGGGTGCAACGCCCCTGGGAAGGCGGAGAGCGGAACAAGGCAGGGGCCGTTAGGGGTAGAAGCCATGATGAGGAGCCCTGGGGGGAAGGGGAACGGGCTGACATGCGGGAGAGGTGAAGGGCCAGAGGAGGAGTTAGCTGGAGGGCCTAGAGGAGGGCCGAGCGGAGCAGGGGCGGCAGTGGGTTGAACGGGTTGGGAACGGGCGTCTAGGGTGGTGAGAATGGTGTCGGGCGTGGGGGAACTGGTGCTGGACATGACTGGGGAGGAGGAGGCTGTGCGAGGGACGAGAACAGGAACAGGGATAGGAAGAGGAACCGGAACGTGGGGCACAGCAATGGTCTCTGGTCTGACTGCAGGGGAAACAGAGGGGCTGTCAGCCCGCGTTTCACGCTGCGTTCCATGTCGAGGTCCGTGTCTTGTTTCATGTTGTGTGTCATGCCAGCTCTTGTTTCTGTCCGGAACCCTATCAGAAAAACTCCGAGAAGGGACACCTGTGTGCCCTGCAGCACCCGCTGCCCCTGCCCCTGCCACTGCAGCTCCTCCTACAGCTGTTACAGGTGATTGGCTGATAGAAGCGTGGGGACTCGCAGTGCCTCTGCTGTCCAATGTGCTTGCATCCTGGTTCAGGGGTGGTTCCACTGAGCTGGATGATCCAGTGCTGTGAATGCTGTTGCTGCGGCTGTGGTACCCCCCACTCTGATTCCCCACACTTTGATTCCCCACACTGCTTTGATCTGAGATCTGTCTCCGAAGGGCACCAGCAACCAAGGAAGCATCAATCCCGCCTGAAACCTGCTGTGCCGGCTCTGCTTCTGCAGCTGCATTCAAACCACTGTTGCTAACCGCGCTGCTGTTGCTAATGACAGGGGTGCTAGCAACGATGGTGCCGACACTAGAGCTGTTACCAGCAACAGCCCCTCGTGAGCCCGTCTGCGTCCTTCTCCATTGTACGTTGGATGATGCGTTGCTGCTGCTGCTGCTAGTGCTGCTGCTGCTGTTCCTTGCACCTCTCGATGCTCCCTTGGCAGCGCGTGAACCGGAACCAGCTTCTTCTTGTTCACCTCGTGATGCTGTGTCTGATTGCCTTGCTGCCGCCTTCCCCTCGCCTTTCCCTGAGCTGACAGCAGGTCCTGCACTCCCTCCGTCCAACCCTCCCTGTGCGCCCTGCTGTGCGCCCTGGCTTTCACTCCCTTCATTTCTTTCATTCCTTTCACTCCCTTGGTTCCCCTCACTTCCTCCACTCCGTTCACTCTCGCTTCGCTGCTCCTCCCTCACACGTGCAACTGCGCTTCCCGCCTTCTTCCTCTCCACAAGCTCGCTCACCAACGTGTCTTGCGCCACAGAAGCTCTAATGCCAGTAGCACCAACGGCCTGCTCCAAGGGACGGACACTATTCTCAGTCGGCCTCACAGCCACTGTGGCTTCGTGTGTGCCTGCCTGCACTGCATGATCATCCGCCTGTGCTGTTCTGTGAGGGGTTGCTGCTAGGTCCGGAGTGGGCCGCACTGGTGGGACAGGATATACCCCGTTGACTGCTTCTGCTCTCTTTGTATGTCCCTGTGGCTGCTGTTGTTGCGCCTGCTGCTGTGCCTGCTGCTGCAACTGCTGCTGCTGCTGCTGCTGCTGCTGCTGTTGCGATTGCTGTTGCTGCTGATGGTGTGCCTGTAGGTATTGTCGTTGCTGCTGTTGCTGCTGCGACTGTTGGTGGTGGTGCTGTTGCTGCTGCTGCTGCTGCAGCTGCTGCTGCTGAGCCTGATGGTGTTGCTGTTGCTGCTGCTGAGCCAGCTGCACGTGTCTCGGGCCACCAGCCATGGGAGGGGAAGCTCTTGCACTGGGAACATGCGCCACATTAGCAGGCACAGGGAACAGAGGAGCAGGGATCCAGGTATGACCTCCCCCATATGGCACCCGGTGGGGCCCATCCGACGCCTGCACCTGCTGCCGCCTCCCCATGTTCCCACCCATGTTCCCAGCCACGTTCCCAGGAACATGCCCGGCAATGTTTCCGTTCATCACCACGCCATGCTGCCCCCCATGGGAGTACGGCGCCCGCATAACATCCCCCTCCCCCGGAGGCTTGTTCTCATGAGCCGCTGCTGCGTTCACTTGCCCCCGGTACCCCCCACCAACACCCACGACCGGCCTAACAGCATAAACACCAGTCCCCGCCCCTGCTCCTGCTCCTGCCCCTACTCCTGCACCTGCTGCCGCGCTTGCAACTGCGGGTGCCACGCCTCCGGGTTGCACCGGGGGCGGCATGGGCTGGGCGAAGAGCGGCAAGCGGCGGGGCATGTGCTGGAGGACGAACTCGTGGTTGGAGCCGTCTGGGCGGGAACCAGAGGCGTTGCGGACCCACGTGTTGCGGAAGAACCGGTCCACCTCCAGAGCCACCAGCTCCTCCGGGCCGTTCAGCGCCGCGTTCAGCTTGCGCGAGCCGTACGCCAGTGCGCTCCTGATGCGGAAGAAGTTGGCTGGAGGGACGAGGCGAGGGGGGCCGCGAGGAGGAGACATGGACGGATTGAGGAGGTTGTGAATGCCCGCACGGCATTGTGTTGCAAGCATTGTGCACGCAAACTGATCCTAGAGAAGCATAGAAAAAGGACGCGAGTAGCGTGTGCGACAAACTCAAACGTAAGGGAGGCGAACTGGAGAAGTATGCATGAGCAAGGCATACCTTTGCTGACGCTGCGGCCGAGGTTATTATTGTCCAGGAGAGGGTCAATGATGTTCAGGAACTTGACCATGAACGGCCGCTTCTGGACCATGGGAGCCAGTGAGTACTTGGCATAGCATTCTGCCAGAAACTCGTCTGTGAGGAGCAGGTCCTCTACTCCACCAGGCCTCTCAGCTGCACACAAGAATCGAAATATTGAAATCAGTGTAAGGCTCCACTGGAGAAATTTCAGCACGTGTGTAGATTTCAGTGAATTAGGGTTTCCATGACAAGTATGCAGGATTTCTTGTTTAGAGAACGGAGCGGGATGAGGAGGACGGGGCAGTGCACAGGGACGTACCGAGCATGGTGGGTAGAGACGAGAGAGGAACGGGGCCTTTGAGGCTGAGGCAAAACTGCTCCCAGTCAAACTTGCTGAATACCTCCAGAAACTTGACAAGCACCTGCAACAATATCAAACACAAATGTTTTCAAATGTCACTGAACAAAGAAAAACTACCATTTGCAGGAAAGGGTCAAATGAACACGAAAGGAAGTGACGGAAAAAGAGCAGGAAAACACTTCAAACTCAAAAGACTTACGTGCAACGGACTGTGCAGCTCCTTATGGAACACGTGGAAAATGTACAGAACGAGGGTCTCCAGGCCGTATGTGGAGATGAGCCCGTGGTGGGCCCCTAAAATTCGACTCTCGTAGTAACACCAGGCCTTCACCAGGATAATGCTCCGCTTGAAAATGTGGTTCCGGCCAATCAGAGCGTCCACCTGAACCGACATCACGCAACGAGGAATGCTGCTAAGTACCGGCCCATTCTGTCAACAAAGAATCGTTGTGAAAATCGCATGTGCGTGCGAGGGGAACGGCTTAGGTATACACCTCTTCTAGAAACCCGAGCGTGCATAGGCCCCCTAGCTGGTTGAAGGAGATATCAACCACAATGTTCTGCACGAGACACTTGATCAGCTTGACCTGCGAAATAGCACGAGGGGAAAAAATCACCCAAATTGAATCATACATATTTCGTAGACACGAAAGGAATTCATCGTATCTAAAACCTTTCAACAGTGTGCTGGTAAACAGTAATATCATCTAGAGGTCGTGGGAATAAGTACCTCCGCGTGGATGTATTGAACTTCTTTCACTTGGAAAAGAGCATCTGCGTTCCGCTCTTCGCGTTCCAGGATCGCTTGAACGTCGTGGACCCACGCGTCCTTCACGGTTGGACCCCGGGAAAATGCGGTTAAGTCAATATCGCCGTCAGGAAGATAAGTCTTCAGAGGCACTGACCCGAACATAAACACCTACGCGGAGGAAGAAAGGCCGAATTAGATAACCCTAACACTGATCTGCAGCGTTTGGTGACAGTAAAGAATATCACAATGACTGAAGAGCTACCTGGCACTCGAAGCAACGTGAGATAAGCCTCGTGACGTATTCGGAAACGGCCAGCCGTCTTTCCTCTGCTCTTGTTGTGGGTTGAATCTGGGAGATCAGATCAGCCACGCGGGCTTCTGCTATTGGCCATCTGACGACGGAATCCGACGAACCTCCGCGATCTGAGCTTGGAGATCCTTCTGCGGATGAGATTCCGTTTGACATCGTTCCCGCTACGTACGAGGGAACTTGACTGTCGTCAACCATGGTGTCAATCGACTTCGCGAATGTCGCACAAAATCGCCGAGTTCAGGAATAAAAAAGAAGTCGGCTAATTAGGGAAGAACTTGCATAAGCTCCGTATTCGGTAGCTTCGAGATGAGGCGGAGAGCGGCGACGTGTTATCTATAAGACCTACTTATCCCTCGTATGACAAACGGGCTTTCGAACCACCTCTGCAACCACACCAGCACCCGTAACGCATGTGCTACCCGTGAGAAGGCGGCCTCGTGCTGCCCGCACCACGGACCGCCCCGGGGGCCTCGGC